CCCCCTCAGAACTCAATATGATGGATATCCTCACAACACCATCCATGTCAAAACCAAAGCAAGACTATTCACGCACACCTGGGCAAGTGTTGTCTCTCATCAGTTCTTTTGGTTTTGTAAGTATTCAAAATAATTTGCATAGAAAGCAGCCTGTATGTCTTGGGTGGGGATTAGATGGATTTCTAAATGGTGAGCCAGCTGCAAATGGTGAAGAGAGCCAGTGTAGTGTAGTGGTTTGAAAATAGGACTGTGACTCTGAAGACCAGGGTTTGAATCCATGCTCAGACATCGAAACCCACTGGGTGATCTAGGGCAAGTCACATTCTCATAGCTTCAGAGGAAGGCAAAGCAACCTGTCTCTGAACAAATCTTGTCAAGAAATCCCCGTGACAGGTTCACGTTAGGATCCTATGGGTTAGAAATAAATTGAAGGCACATAACAAAAACAACTACCAAATGGTGAAGTATTGCAGCTTCCATCAGCCATGGAAGGCACGGAGCTATGGTCCAACTATATCTGTAAGGCTACACAGCTCCCACCCCTACCTTAAACTGAGTTACATCCTTGATCTATCAAGCTCACTGTTTTCACACTGACCTGTTGGCGCAGCACTATTCTAGAGTTCTCTCAGGAGACTTTCCCTGCTATACATGGGATTGCCATGGAATGAGCCCAAGAAAAATCAAGCAAATCATATTCCCAGTTGCTGAGGCAGAGCCTGTTTGAAATTAATTCTTTTTTATTATTATTATTCTCTGAGGAGCTGCTTTGTCTTTGGGAGAAGTGATCAATTTCCCACATCAGTGCTCTGAGAGCTCCACCTTGATAGGGTGATACCAGATGAACAAACAAAAGCCCCTCACATTGTTTGAAACAATTATGTAGCAACCACTTTGTATCCTTCTTTCATTAGTTATAAAGAGTGTTATAAAAACTTGGATGATGCAGTAGAGGACATGCTTATCAAATTTGCAGATGACACCAAATTAGATGGGAAAGCTAAAAGCCCAGAAGACAGGATCAGAATTCAAAATGACTATAACAGGTTAGAGAGCTGGACCAAAACTAGTTTCAACAAGATGCTACACTTAGGCAGAAAAAAATGAAATGCACAGATAAAGGATGAGTGACATTTGGCTTGACAACAGTACATGTGAAAGGGATCTGGAAGTGTTACTAGACCACAAGCTGAACATGAGTCACCAGTGTGATGTGGCAGCTAAAAAAGCCAATGCTATTCTAGGCTGGATCAATAGGAATATAGTGTGTATATTGGGGGAAGTAATAGTAGCACTCTATTCTGCTTTGGTCAGCTCTCACCTGTGTCCAGTTCTGGGCACCACAATTCAAAAAGGATATTGACAAGCTGGAACATGTCTAGAGGAGGATGACCAAAATGGCAAACTGTCTGGAAACCATGCCCTAAGAGGAGAGGCTTAGGGAGCTAGGTATGTTTAGCCTGGGGAAGAAAAGGTTAAGAGTGGACATGATAACTATATTTAAATATTTGAAGGGATATTATATTGCGGATGGAGCAAGCTTGTTTTCTGCTGCTCCAGAAATTAGCACACGGAACAATGGGTTCAAGCTACAGGAAAAAAGATTCCACTTAAACATTAGGAACAACAGTGGAATATGCTGCCTTGGCATTTGAATGGGTCCTCATCTTTGGAAGTTTTTAAACGAAGGCTCAATGGCTATCTGTCAGGAGTGCTTTAATTGTGTGTTCCCGCATGGCAGGGGGTTGGACTGAATGGCCCTCTCTTCCATCTCTGTGATTCTATGATGTTCTGTTGCAGAGAGTCAGTAGTACTAAATCTATGACTGAAATATGAAATCATAATTATCTTTTATAATATATTTGGTTACATGTATCTTTTGAAAATGCTTTTCTCATCTTGACAGTATACTCCAGTCGATGGGAAGATGCACACACCTAGTCCAAGTCCTATTTCTGCAGACACATCTCAGCTTTCTCAAGGGTTTGTTTCCCCCTTATCTGTAAGTCAAAAAGACTACCCTCCTGCATCTAACAAACTCCTGAGAGCATGTAAGTATTGTTTTTTTAAAAATTGCTTATCTGTACATGAGCTGGCTTATATAGAGATCATCTTGACAGGCCTTGTTGCAAGTGCACCTCCCAATTAGAATTTTGGCATATAACCACCGGGGGAAGGGTCTTTTAAGTGGTTGCACCATTTCTGAAAAGCATACCATAGTACAACTTGTTTGGTGCCCAACTTCAATTTCCTTTTAATTACAGGTTTTTAAATCTTGATTAGTTTTGTGCTGCTTTTTGTGCATAGTTTTGATGTTTAATGAGTGTGTGTTATTTATTATAATTATGTACCGGTATTTCTATTTTGTAAAAGTGCCCTGGAAAGATTTTTGTAGATCAGATCATGTTATCTGAACACTGAGACTTTTAATTTTGTCTGGCTTAAAACAGCGTCTAGCTTATTTTAGAACCATTGTAATTTAGTAGCCAAGCACTGGATTGTCAATAGGAGAAAGTCAAGTTCAGATCCTGTTTTGTGCAAAAATACATATCACCCAAGCCTATGACAGAAACCTAGCAACCTTTCTATTAGGGAGAAACAATCTGGAATGGAGAGGAGAGGCAACGCATTTTCTCATCCTACTCTTCCCCCACTTTTTTGTTTTTCCTCTGAATAATGTGAAGGCACTGATAGTACTGAGATCTCTTTTTACATATATTTCACTTATTTTGCTTTGTTAGTACATACTGTTACTTTGTATTATTTGTAGAGTATACTGTAATAATAATTAGTGGAGACTATGAAATCAGGATAGGGGAATTCTTTGTAGTCAGAAGGGACAAGCTGACAGTTACATATTATAGAAAGAAAGATTATAGAAAGGGGCGTACATGCAAGTGTATCTCTTTTTGGATGAGGCACAGGGACTATTCTCTTGCCCTTTGTGTCCTTCCCAGAAGCTTTTCTCCCACAGCTGTCAAGCCCCAGGAGAGGCAGTGGTAGCTGTTTCTTAGGAGGAGTGCAATTCATAGGAGGAAGAAGCAACTGGCCTTTCTTTCAAGGGAAAGGAAAGGATGATGCTTTCCATCTCGGATTGTACTCTCATTTCCTCCTTCCTATGAGCCCAGGGCAGCTGCATCTTCATCTTCTCAGTTGCTTCCCCTTCATCAGTAAGATGCAGCTGCAGGAGCTCCTTCCAGGGCTTAATCACTAAGAGTGGGAAGAGGATGTAAAACTGCACAGGTTGAATGCTGCACTGTGCTATACCTGCTTGATGTACTACAGTTGTTCTGAAACTGAAACTATGTCTTGTATGCCTTAATTTTTTTGTAAATGATGTTTTTCCTAAAGGCTTCGATTCTTCAGCTGTAACACCTGCAATTCCAGTGAGGAGCCTCACACCAACTCTGCTTCAGTCTAGAAAAAGGTATGGGACTTCCAGTGCCAGTAGCCATTCCCGTACACAATTGTCCAGCATGGAATCAGAGTGCTGCAGCAGCCCCCGGTGGGAAAGAGACGTTCAGGTCAGGAGTGCTTTTTTCTAATGGCTTTGTTTCTTCTGACTTCTTACAACTGAATAATTCAAAGATGCACTCTGGGACTATGAAACAGACTTGTAAAATCAGCTTTCAGGAAGGATAGTCCCACAAGATGTTGATGAGGAGATACTTTTACTGCTTATTTTCTTTCCACTGTATTCTTGGTTCTCCAGATGTCAAGTGGATCTTTCATATAGACAAGCAGTTTCTAGGGCTGAGGGCAGTTTTCCTTTCCTCACTATATGCACAAATGAACATACACACGCACTTTTCATAGGATAATATTCATGGACTAAGAAACCAATTTTGGTTGAAAACAGACTCTCCAGGACTAGTAAACTGAGCTCTAATCTGAAATAGGTTCATGTGCACAAATTGATTGTGATACCTTCTGCTGCAAGCAGGGAGCACATTTATGAACAGGAAACAGGAGACCTCCTGTTCCCATGATGGAAATTTTGAGGTGGGGGAAAAAGAATAGAGCTTGGAATATTACCTTTAGAAAGTAACCTTCAGATATATAATGATAAAGATTAGTTACTTGCTGCAGGATCTTCCACACCCTGATTACATGATGAGACTTAACATTGCTGTCATTTACTCAAAAAAGTAACTGATTTAAAGTAATGTAATTACTTTTAATGAATAACTTCCAAGCATGGGGGAAAATAACAAAACAGGTACATGATCTGCTTTAAAATTTCTTTTTTTCACATTCGATGTTATATATGCAATATTCATTGTAACATATTTTATTTCAATTTTTAATAGACACTTTATTTGCTTGCTTCTGAAAATACAATTTGAAAGCCTCTGTGTTTAAGGACTGTGTCTTTTCATATAAAATTTTTTGGACATGCAGATCAATATTACAGCCATGCTGTGTGTCTGTGTATCTGTCTGCTAAGTCAACAAACAGCACATTCAATGTCATATTGCCTAGATTGTGGAACTTCTAAAACGACACAATAGCCTTCTGGCGTGGCTTATCTGAGCAAATATTTGGACTGGAAAAAACTAATTTATGTTGTTGTTCTAGTCTGTTTTAATGTTGTGTGTGCATTGTATTTTTTAATTTGTATATTTATTATTTTAAAAAAAGGAAAAGGTTTCCCCTTTGACAAGATTATCTAGTTGTGTCCCACTGTAGAGGGTGGTGCACATCTCCGTTACTAAGCCAAGGGAGCTAGCACGGTCAAAGAAGAACCCGTGGTCATGTGGCCAGCATGACTGCATGGAATGTTGTTATTTATTATTTAAATATTTATTATTTATTATTAGGAGTATTTAAAACAGACTTCAACAGTACAAAGGCTCTATCAGATACTCTTTGTTCTAAATCATATGACCCTCCAAATGATTTTGAACTAAAACTGCCATCAGTCCTGGCCAGCTTAATGGTAAGGGGTGCTGGGAGTCCAACACAATCTGAGTGGCTTTGTAATTCTGGGTCCTTCTTTAAATTGCAAGTGTTTTTGCCTGCTCATCCTTTTATATGTTTTCCTTCCAGTACATCATCTTCAAAAAATTACATCTCTAATCCCCACCCATCCAGTTATCCAAATGCACAAGGCTTCTCATCAGTTGCAAGTTTTATGTCTAACTACATGGGGGGGGGGGGGCGTGGAATCCCTGTTATATTACAGTTTTTATGATAGCATTAGGAGTCTTTGGGCTGAAGGTAGGATAAGAACAATGTAATAAGTATATATGGTTAATGATCTTGTTTCATCATGTTTATAAACACCT